AAAACTTCATTGGTCTCGGCACCGGGGATCGAACTCAGGTTGCTCGAGTATATTGAATTAAAGGCGAGCGTCCACTGAGCATGCATTACAGCATGAGTGATATAAGGCAAAAATGACTTTAACACTTAAATAAACAACAAAGGAAATATCTAGCAACAAAGTTACCAAAGTACTATTGCGTTAAGTAAACGTAAGAAATTACCGAGTAAACTCGGGAATCGTAAAGTTGGGAAAACAAAGTATTCGCGAACTGATATTAAAGTGAGAAATTTCGCGTGTTAACGCGTTTCACATTTGTGACCAGTAATTTTTGTCACGGTGTGGTTTGTCGCCTGTCGCCTGTCGCGTCAGCTGACCTAGCTAACACTCTCTTTTTAGAGTTCCGTATCCAAAGTAAAACGGGAACCTATTACTAAGCCTGCTGTCCGTCTGTCCGTCAGTCACTAGGCTGCATCCCATGAACCGTGATAGTTAGACAATTGAAATTTTCACAAGCATACTTAATGCACCAAACATATAGGTCCGTCTAGTGCGAACAGATCCTTTTGCGTGCTAATTTCAAGGCGCGAATGCATTTCGCTGCGGTGACGTCACGAGCGCTCAAAACAATCGGCGCAGCTGCCGCCCGCGATCCCACTTCCCAGCGCTGGGGAGCGGGCCACGCGGTCGTTGCCCACCGCGTGGCGTGTGGGCAATAACCAGTACGGTCACGCGACAGTTTTCGCTGTTGTACTAATGGACAGGTCCGTCCGGGGGTGAACACAGAAGACTGGCGTGAAGTGAAAGAGTACTACTGCGTTTCGTCTGGTGAGCGAGGTAGCCGGGGCCCACTTTACTAAAACCCTATGTGTTGCAAATGTCCATGGGCGGCGGTTATCTCTCAACATCAGGTGAACCGCCAGTTCGTTTGCCACCGTCTCGCATTAAAAAAAAACATCGTCACTTCATCCCACCCCACCCAAAACTGACCGTTACCTATACACCGTGCGTAGCACGTAAGGACTTGGATCTAAGACTTCCGAAAATGTCTTACACCGAGTATTACGGAAGCGCTGGCTTCGAATTCGAGACCTCGAATCGAAAGTACAAAATCCCAACAACCGGGCTATAATTGACCGTTCAATTATAACGAAATACAATTCTTTCCGATTGGTGACCGATGATTTAATTCAGACACGGGCTCAATTGATAGGCCATCGACCCAATTGGGCACGCGTGAGATGGAACAAAACTGCTTTGTAACACATTTCAAACATTGTTTTCATTTTTAAACAAGTGCATAGAATTAAATTCAAAAAGCCAAAAAATTGCCCGTGGTAGGGTCCACGCAACAGTGTGGGACATAATTATGTCCATACACACCGCTCAAAAAAAAAACAATCTAACGTTTAAATTGTTTATAGTCCTAATCTTTGCAGTTAAGATTGAACATTAAAATATGTAGAAAAGGTACGAAAAGATTGTCGTCGCTCTGGGAATCGAACCCACGTCTTCAGCATTCGTGGCATGACGCTTTAGCCACTAAGTTGATTGCCACACCGAAGAAAATCTTAACGTCTTTATCTACATTGTTATTTAGCATTTGAAGCTATGTTTGGCACAAGCATTGTCAAACAAGTGCATAGAATTAAATTCATAAAACCAAAAAATTGCCCGTGGTAGCGTCCACGAAACAGTGTTTTGGGACATGCTATAATTATGTCCATACACACCCACTAAATAAAAAAACTATTTAACGTTTGTTTCGGTGAGGCTTGACTTGAGCAATTAAATCATCTAAGTAAAAAATATGCTATCTCTTACATCTTTTTATTAGACATCTTTATCTTGTAAATGAGTACGGTATTAATTTTCGATCGCAAATAAACCAGTGTACCGTCCGGGGGGCCCGTTTCGAACCTTAGACCCGCCTTATGTCGTAATTCAGCCGTGGGCCAATCACGATCTGCAAAGTTGCGATCCGTTCCGATTCCAGACGCGCGATTTCTAACAAATCGAGAGACAAAATGCATTCAAAACCCATAGGTTACTTGGCTCTCAAGTAACTAGATTAATTGGTAATTGTAAAATCAAGAAGTAATTTTTTTGTCGTTTAATAACAGCTTAAAATAACCCTACATTGAATAAAGAATATTTTTTTTGTTTATTATTAGATAGGTAATTTAATTGATAATGTAGAATTTTTATGAGAGAAGGCAACAAACATGAAGACAAGTGCAGAATGCAAGACGAAGTGTGAAGGTATAAATACTTATATACGCCGTCAACCTACGGCAGAATATAGTTTTAAGCATAAAGTACAATTATTTGTACTTTAACATTGCGATCTGTGAATGAGGTAGAGGAAAGCGGTATTAGTCAATTATCATGATATCTTCGACTACCACCTCCTCTTCTTCTTCTTCTTCCTCGGTCCCTCAATGCTGAGGGTCGTGACCACATGATGTTCTCCTCCACTGCGTGCGGTCGTAGGCGGTGTGAACCGCGCGTTGCTTGCTGCCGCCCACCGCGTTCTTCACTGCGTCAGCCCATCTTGTCGGTGCCCTGCCTTGAGCACGTCTCCCGTTCATCTGGCCAGTAATTATCTGCTTTTCTAGACTGTGCCTTGAAGATCGCATAATGTGTCCAAAAAAGCAGAGGGCCCGTTCACGGCAAATTGAAGAAAGCCGCTTCGTGATGTTTAGGTCTTTTAGTATTGAGCCGTTGGTTCTCCTGGCAGTCCAACGAATACGGAGCATCCTACGCCAACATCGATTTTACTGCTATCACGGCTTCTTACGCTCCATGTTTCGGCACCGTACATAAAAATAGGAATGACCAATGCTCTTACCAAACGCACTTTAGTCGCACATCGAATACCACGGTTCTTCCATATCTTTTCGAGTCTAGTCATAGCACTTTTGGCCATACCGGATCTACGACGAATTTCATCAGTGCAGCTGCCATCGTTGTATACCAGCGACCCAAGGTATACAAATTGGCTGACTTTTTCATATCCATTGAGTGCATCGGTGACGGGCAGTGTTTGTGCTCGGTCTACCACCGTTATTTTAGTTTTAGAATGGTTGATCTTAAGACCCACTTTTGCACTCTCCTCTTATAGTATATAAAAAATACTATTTCACAACCAAATGTGTCCCTCATCATCATCATGTCAGCCCGTGTTAGTCCACTGCTGAACATAGCTCCCACATAACCCGCACAGACTGCTACGAAACACGACCACGCCGGGCCATCAGCGCCCATCGACTTCCCCCACATTTGCCTCACAGAGCCTCGTGCAATATGAAATTAGGCATTAAACTTCACAGACCCGTCTGCGTTTCCCATCTTTGGTGCAAATAAGAAATTTCATATCGAGGGCTCGCCTCGTAAATTATGGCTTAACAAAGACGCTGGTTTGCCATTATAAAGTTTGCTGTGTCTGTATTATGGGCGACTTAGGGTCCAATTCGGACCTTAGGGTATGCAGTGCACAGTTTTTTTGGTCCATCTAGATTATGCTGAGTACGCTGGGAGGACGATGATTGCGCACTTTGATTTTCTTGTAAAAAAGCAGTTCAGATAAAACTATCCATAAGTGTTTACGACCCGATTGGTGCAGTGGGTATTGTACCTGCCTCTTGCGCCAGAGGGTGTGGATTCGATCCCCACTGCTGGAAAAATATTCTGTGATGATTATAGTTATTTTCTAGTGTCTTGGTGTCTATATATGTATTTATTTGCAAAAGAAAAGTATGTTTAAGTATGTTTATCATATAGTACAAGCCTCGCTTAGTTTGGGACTAGAAAACGCTGTGTAGAAATATGTCCTGTTCACAACCTAAAATGAGTTTTATTCTATACATTGTATGTCCCACAGCTGGGCGTACGCGTCCTCTGTTCAAAAGGCATTACTATTTACACTTTACTAATGATCGCAATTCAATTATCGATTTCAAGGTCTCCCGAACTTTTATCCGAAACGGCACATTTATAATTACAAGAAAATTTAAATATAGCCTCCAGTTCTCGAATCGACCCACACTCGATTTTGGCGGTGAAATAGAACTAGTGTGTCCAGGCTTAGACCTGTTTGTGATTTATAAGTATTTTGGCAGAATCGAACCCGCAACCCATCGCCCACTTTATTAAAATGTGGCAACGTTACGGATGTTGCAAATATCTATGGGCGGCGGTTATCGATTAAAATCTTGTAACCATCTTCCTTGTTAACATCATACATATTTAAGAAATCGCCTTGCCTGCCATCTTCTTAGAAAATTCTTTCATAAAAAAACTCTAAATCCTTTCGATTATATTCCGTTCGGCGGAAAATTTTGCTGTTGACTTTCCACGCACAAGAACGTCGTTTATCATCTGTACGGATAAGGAATGGAACAACCTGCCGGCGTCGGTCTTTCCGTCCGATTGTAACGTAGGCGTCTTCAAGGCAAGCGCGCTTACCATCCAAAGCTGCGTCGCACCTACCATCAGGTGGGATGGCAGTAAAGCGCTAGTCAGTTCTATATACAGCGTGTCTTTACAATTGCGACAATAAATGAACACACATATAGGGGATAACTTTTTAAAATTGTATTAAACATTTACATTCTTTAATCGTCGGTATTTACAGAGTTATTAAATTTTCCAAAACAAAGAATTTTAGAATACCGTTACTTATAAAACTGTAACGTAAAGTTCATTTGTAAAGGTCACGAAGCATATGAATGGGTTGAATGAATTTAAAAGAGACAAAACATACTGTTAGAAGGACAGGCTTGTAATGCGACGCTGTGGCGCGAGTTGTATAGGATGTTACAAATTTTGTTTCCTTTTTACCTAATTAGTTTGTTTGAAAAATATATTTTTTTTAATTATGGATTTTGTTTAACTTTAATATTTTTTTATGATTATTGGCAAATAGCGTTCGACGTGTGTTCATTTATTGTCGCGATGGTAGCGACACGCTGTATAAAAAAAAAGAGAAATAGTCGAAGTCCGAATACGCCCACAAACGCATGGTCACCCTACACGCGGGAATAGCATCTGGAGTGGCCGCGCCTGCACAGCGTCACTTCTCGAGCGGGCCCACCGACCCGCGTACGTGGCCTCTGAATAAAGGGCCGGCATTAGACCAAGTCACTATTCATTCGAGAGACGTGCCGGAGCAAATAATGTACGGATTGCGGCGAACGGAAGTTGTTGTAAACAGCTAAATGAACGGTGATCAAAGATCTTTACGGCTGTTATGAACGCTACATGAATACGTTAGTGACGATCCAGTTATGTGGCGTCCACGTGTGATTAGTATTACATTTTACCTTATTTTTTTTTTATTATGTTTCACCGCATCTATTCATATTAGGATTGAGTTAATATTTTCAACTACTTAATGTGCTATCGAATACATAGGTTTTTAAATAGCACAATAATTGATCTAATATTTACAAGATTAAGTCTATCTAAAATTATATATTATCTAATATTTATTTATTTATTATTTATTGAAGCGCCTTAAAAGAAGGCAAGTGCGAGTCGGACTCGCGCACGACGGTTTCTGTACACCGTTATAAAAGCAATTGCAACTCTAAGTATATTGTAAATGGACGGACTATTTTTTAAAGTTTTTGTTCCATTTTAGCTTCTCGAAGAAGGTTCTCAGCTTCTTCTCAAACACCAATAACAATCTTGTTAATTCTGTAATCTTAAGGCATTGAACTAATAACCTTTTCTTTTAAATGCTCACTGTCCCTTACCGTAACCTTTAGTAAGTGTTAAAAGTAGTCGGTGTAACTTTGCGGACAGATGTGCGGTAGCCGAATAATATTACTTATATCAATAATTTATTAAATTTTTATTGAATGTAAAAAAATATTTAATAAATAATTTAATGAGGCGAAATATGTCTGTACTTTTGTCTATACTGAAAATCTTTATCTACCATATTTCTGCAAATAAAGATGATTATTATGATTATTATTATTATTATTATTAACAAATATTTTGGTTATAATGCATGTAGGACGCGATGCCTGACATGCGTTTTATGATCGTGTGGTCAAATCATCAAATCAAATATTTTAAGTAATCCAATTTACGCAATTTACGCCATTAAAATGAATTAAATCAAATTATACTTCTGTTATTTTCGTGTCCTGTAACCTCATAGAACTTATGTAATGTACCGTAGCAATGTATTATCTAATGTATCGTAGCAATGGTGACATCTCCCGTTCAAAATATCCGTGTGAAACAATATTCGTAAATTTTGCCGTAAACATGATGATAAAAGATGCGCCAAGCATTGCCCTAATGCGAAAAAACAATATATATATATAAATAATTTCGAACAAAAAAAAACCGACTTGGAACAGGAAACTAAAAGCATTGTCAACACCTATAACATTTGTGGATTGCCCTCGATTTGTCTGGGATGCCATCATCAGGTCTGGGTTTCCGTATCATGGTACCACCCATGGGATATCTCCTTTCCAACAAAAAAAGAATCATCAAAATCGGTTCATAAATGACCAAGTTAAACACATAAAAAAATAAAAATATATACGGTCGAATTGAGAAACCTCCTCCTTTTTTGAAGTCGGTTAAAAACGTTGAGATTTTCGTCGGTTTGGTAATCAATTAGCCGTTTAGCTTAGCGAATCCATAAGACTTGATTTTGATCCATTCAGCGGCGATCTTAAGTGAAGAGATTGGCTCTACAAAAATTTTAATTTGATGATGACTCCGTAGCGCATTTTCCAAGGTATTCGCTTCGGCGTCGGGATCCGTGGGTTCGATTCCCACACGGGACAACTATTTGTGCGACCAACAGATAGTTGTTTCGCATCTGGATGTTTGTCCGCGTGAAATTAGTGTTTGTAAAACGTCTTTACAACACACGATAATGTTATCCTAAAGTTAGGGCAACGTTTTTAAATAATAATAAAAAAAAAGAAATATCTAACATCCCGAAAAACCGAAACTCACTCGCTTTGTGCACCACACAGAACCAAACCCTCGATTCATACAGGAAGTTTGCTCTGTTAACTAATTACTCTCTTTACAACTGTTAAAATTAATTTATATGCGTACTGTACCCATTGATGGTGCATCAGTCCGTCCCTTTCTAACGCCAGCGCGACTGACGCACACAACTCTCGTATCGCATTTAATGCTGTCAATGTTTATTGCGGGCATATAATTAAAACTCCACATTAATTTCAATTAAGCGTCGTGAATGCTCCGCGGCAATAAAGAATCGATTATCGGACCCCCGACGTCTCGATTGCACTATGGCGCGGACGCTACTAGGTTCGCCACGACCTATAGCTTTTATGGACATGTCCCAATTTGAGTGTTCCGTTTTAAATAATCTTTTATGCGCGCTTTTAATGATAGCGGCCACTGCTACTGGCGCCTGTAGGTTGACCACGGCTCGTCTTAATCGCGGACTTGTCCCATTTTAGAGTTCTATTTCGAAAATTCTTTTATGCATGCTTTTATTACGTTGATCACAACTCGTAATCGTTTCAGATATGTCCCAATTTTGCTGTTCCCTTTTTGTGTGGCTGTAGTTGATCTGTGTTCTTACGCAAAAAGGTTGGCTATTTACATCAGCCATAACTTAATTAAATTTGATTTTTATTTGATCCAATATTAAGATGTGTTTATTCGATATTTGGATGTAAAATAAATTTGGCAAGACGATTGACAGTTGGCTACGGCTCGACAATATCTGGGATACTCTATTATTCAGAAATATATTTTATTGACTATTATTTGTAGAAAAAAGGACGAAAAGTTTCCCGAAGATATTCGACAGTATTTCGCTCGTGGACAATGTATCAGTAACTGATAAAAAAATTATAGAACCGGTTCAAACTATTCGAAAATTAAGCATTACAAACTTATCAACATACAAACAAATCCTAGCACATTACAGAATTACTTAAGAACTGAACCTTTGACCTACCAACCGATTACCTTCACTGATTCAACATTATCCCGCATACATTTCGGGGAGACGTGGTAACCCCATTAGCCCTGCACAACTTTTAATTGACCCGTCATAATCTTTGATATGCCCATTATAAAGCTCGGGAAATTGCGGTGGGGGGGACCGTAGAGGCATTGTGCCTTCACACAATAACAAAACATAACATATCCTCACGCCGATACCTCAGCGACGTAGGCAGAGATAGGTGATCCCCTATCCTATTGCTCAGCATGTCAGGGAATTAATAATAAACAAATATTTTCGAACACATTTTTACACAACGTTCTCTAGTCCCAAACTAAGCAACGCTTGTACTATGGATACTAGAAAACTGACAGACATAGGTACTTAAACATACTTTTCTTTTGTAAATAAATACATATTACACGTATATAAATACCCAGACACTGGAAAAAACCATGTTCATCACACAATATTTTTGAAGAAAGAAAGAAAGAAAACATTTATTGCTCAAATTCGCCGCATGTACATTTAAATCATAAACATAAAAAAACCATAGTAAAAAGAAAAAAAAAAGAAGAATAAAAAAAATATTAAACACATCACACATTTTACGCACACAATTGTGTGTGGCGTATACGGCAAACAGACCGCACTCAGCTTAATGCCGCAGTCGATACGAGACTACAACACCAAGCCTCGATTTTTCCAATAGTGGGGATCGAACCCACACCCTCTGGCGCAAGAGGCAGGTGCACTACTCCCGACGCCCAAGTTCATTTCAAGACCCACATGTTGGATATGATTACGGAGGTCGCTGATTATTTTCTATTTCATGAGAAGGTGGCTTAGTTGGTGGTCCACCTGATGTTAAGTGATAACCGCCGCCCATGGACATTTGCAATACCTGTAGCGTTGCAGATGCGATACCTATTAATAAAGTGGGCCCCGGCTACCTCACTCACCAGACGAAACGCTGAAGTGTAACACTTCTACTTAACGCCGGTCTCCTGTGGGGTCATGGTCCTTCCTCGGACGGAGCTGCCCATTCGTGCAACAGCCAACACTGTTGCGTGGCCCTACCACAGTTACTTGTGGCATATTCGTGTAAAACTAACGTAAAATCACGACATGATCGCAGGCCCTACCACAATTTCTTGTGCCGTACCTGTGTCAAACTGTGCCTCAGTTTAACAAAGGTAAAACGCACTTATCGCACAATCGGAATGTCTTTATCGTAATTTATATCATTATGTAGATCTTCGAGCCTTAATGCCTTAATGCCTTAAGATTTGTGTACGATTCAAATTGATGAATAACTCATCGACTATATCAGCTATCTACCCCAGAGAAGTTTGACAGCTTGAGGGGATAGTTATTAAGCTGATTGGGCGCTCACCACAGCGGTCAACGACTTGGCCCAGATTGCGCGGCACACGTAGCAACACCAAGATTTGACTTTTATACGCCTTTCTGTATAACTTTACGATATGAAAAGGGTATCTCTTGCTATAGAGCCACGAAATATTTAGACCTAGCGTATACTGTAAACATAATTGTTCCCAATTCTTCGGCATTCGCGGCCTGACGCTTTAGCCACTAAGCTAAAAGGCTGATTGCCACACTGACGAAAATCTTGACGTCTTTTATCTACATTGTTTTTCGCATTTGAAGCAATGCGTGGCGCATCCATTGTTATATCCTTTTCACCATACAAACAGTTTCGAATATCGTTTTACAACGACAATTCGAACGAGATATGTCGCCATGTCAGCCGTTTAGCTCAGTGGCTAAAGCGTCAGGCCGCGAATGCCGAAGACGTGGGTTCGATTCCCACAGCGGCGACAATCTTTTCGTACTTTTTCTACAAATTTTTAATATTTAATCTTAAGTGCAGAGATTAGCACTACAAAAAATTTAAAAAACTGTTCCGATAAAAGTGAAACAACTATTAATGCTAAGTCACCGTTATATTAATTTGTTGTGGATGAAATTTTATGAGATAATGTGTGAGTTTGTATGTTATTCATAGTCAAAGTAGGTCCTTTTATTTCGTGGAAACTGCCTTTTCCAAGGCTGAGAAGCGTAATCGCAACTTAAAGCGCAAGACAAGTCACGAAGCAACGGCTAAAGGTATTACGATAAAATCTGCAAATGAAGTAATCATAACTTATACGCAGGCACAACACTTATGTTTAACACAGCGTTTTGACAATCTT